CCTCATTCCGACGCACTTGTTATCACCGTCCCAATATGCGGAATCCCCGTACATCGCGTTATGGTGGATACTGGGGCCTATTCAATCATTTTGATGTTAAAAGCCTTCGACAAAATGGGACTTGATCCCGCCGACATCCGACCTTGCAATGATCAGATACAAGGATTCAATGGCAGTATTTCGAAGCCTGTCGGCGAGATCACTTTACCTGTCAGATTCGGCACTTCGGAGAATGTTACTAAGCTCGTAATGGAAACTTTCAACATTCTGGATATCAAGAATGAGTACAATGCCATCATCGGCAGAACAGCCTTGTATAAACTTCGGGCTGCAGTTTCGATCTTTCACTATGCTTTAAAGTTCCCGACAACCCGAGGAGAAGGAACCCACTTCGGAGATCAAAGAGAAGCTCGAGAACATGTTACGTTTATCCCATCCAATGGAATCCATTCCACTTCGATGAGCAATAATGAAGATTTCCCACCGCAGCACGGTTAGGACGATGCAGTGCCCGAGGAACCAAACTATAACGATGTTGCTCTTCCCACCTCGGATCATTTAACTGAAGACCGAGGTCGTCGGCCTGGAAAGGAGCCACTTCTTGAAGAGGACGAGCTGGACCCTAGAGACTTGTTTAAAGAAAAAAGCCGAAGTGATCGAGCCGAACCTGGAGAAGACATAGAATTGATCTATATCGATGAACCAGTCTTCCATAAATCATTATGTATTGGAAGTCATCTTCAAGAACCTCTTCGGTCAGAACTTATCTCGTTTCTCAAACACAATTCTGATGTTTTCGCTTGGAAGCACGAGGATATGAAGGGCATCGACCCCGGTGTCGCTAGCCACAAGCTGAACCTCGATCAAACCATCCGGCCTGTTGTGCAAAAGAGAAGGAAACTGAGGCCGGATCGTCAGAAGGCGTTGGAAGAAGAAGTCGAAAAACTCATCGACAACAAGTTCATCAAGGAAGCCAAATACCCGACGTGGGTCTTAAATCCTGTTCTTGTCAAAAAGAGCAACGAGCTATGGAGACTATGTATCGATTTTTCCGACCTGAACAAGGCGTGCCCGAAGGACAGTTATCCACTCCCACATATAGACTACATGGTCGATGCCACGTCGGGACACGAGTTAATGAGCTTCATGGATGCTTACTCCGGCTACAATCAAATTCCAATGGATCCTGAAGATTCTGAACACACCTCATTCTATTCGGCCCGAGGCTTGTACTGCTATACTATGATGCCGTTTGGATTAAAGAACGCCGGAGCTACATACCAACGCCTCGTCAATAAAATGTTTGCCACGATGATTGGTCATACTATGGAAGTTTATGTCAACGACATGCTCGTCAAATCGGTGCACGCTTCTGACCATGTAGCACACCTTCAAGATATGTTCAATGTCCTCCGATCTTATTCCATTGTCCTAAATCCCAAGAAATGCACCTTCGGAGTTAAATCGGGAAAGTTTCTGGGCTATATGGTCAGCCAACGCGGAATTGAAGCCAATCCGGCCAAAATAAAGGCCATTCGAGATCTAACTCTCCCGACCTCGGTTAAGGGTGTTCAGGCCCTAACCGGCCGACTTGCCGCACTCAACCGGTTCATCTCCAAGTCTATAGATCGTTGCAGACCCTTTTTCGAAGCAATCAAAAAAGGAAAACGTTTTGAATGGACCGAGGAATGCCAGAGAGCTCTTGTTAACATCAAGGAGACGCTTGTCTCTCCACCGACTTTACAAAAGCCAAAACCCGAAGAAATGTTGTTCTTATATCTCGGAGTCAGTGATTCTGCCATTAGCGCTGTTTTAATACGTGAAGAAGGATTGTTACAATCGCCTATCTATTATGTCAGCAAAGCCTTGCATGATGCCGAGTTACGTTATCCTCCGATGGAAAAATTAACATTTGCGCTTGTCGTTGCTGCTCGAAAATTACGACCTTATTTTCAAGAACATTCCATAACTGTTCGCACTTCGTATCCACTTCGGCAGATTCTGCACCGACCAGATACCTCGGGACGCATGATCAAATGGGCCATTGAACTCGGACAATTCGATATCCATTACCAACCGAGGACCGCAATCAAGGCTCAAGCCTTATCTGACTTCATCGCCGAGTTCACTCCGGCCATCACAGTTCACCATGATAATCAACCATGGGTCCTCTATATTGATGGATCCTCAACAGCCAACCGAGCAGGCGCAGGGATAGTTTTAGCTGACCCGGACAACCGGTTATTCTGTCATTCAGTGAAGTTTCTTTTCCCGGCAACCAACAATGAAGCCGAATACGAAGCCTTGCTATCCGGATTGAATTTGGCTGAATCCATGAACGTGAGACACCTTAAAGTCTTCTCGGACTCTCAACTCCTTGTCAACCAAATCAATGGTTCATATGAAGTCAAAGAACCTCGGTTGACACCTTATCTTTCTTTGGCCAGACAGAAATTATCAAAATTCTCCGCCGACCTCGAACATATCCCCCGAACTCTCAATGTTCAAGCAGATGCCTTATCTCGGCTTGCATCAAGTACCGGGATGGAGAGCGCGGAGTATGTCCAAATCGGCCAGCAAGAGCAACGTCGACTGCACTTTCCGAGGTCGCGACCATCAATCCGGTAACACCACAAAAACCACCAACTTGGATGGATCCTATTATCCTCTACTTAGAAACTGGGGCCTTGCCCCCAGATCCAAAAGAAGCTCGTGCACTTCGGATCCGAGCAGCTCGGTATACGTTGGACAACAGAACTTTGTTTAAAAGGGGATACTCCGTCCCACTTTTAAAATGCGTGAGTGAAACTGATTCACGGTATATTCTTGAAGAAGTCCACGAAGGAATTTGCGGCGCACAAGCATTATCTTATAAAATCTTGCGACAGGGTTATTACTGGCCGACCTTGAAAACCGACGCCGCCACGTGGGTTAGCAAATGCCCGAAATGCCAAGTGTTTGCGCCTAATGTCTATCAGTTTCCCGAAGAGCTCAAATCGATCTACAGTCCTTGGCCTTTCGCCAAATGGGGGATCGATCTCATAGGTCCTCTACCAACAGGAAAAGGAGGCGTCCGATTTGCCATCGTAGCCGTTGATTATTTTACTAAATGGGCTGAAGCTGAACCGTTAGTCACGATAACCGAACAAAAAGTCATTGATTTTATATGGAAGTCGCTCATCTGCCATTTCGGAGTGCCGAATTCCATCATAACCGACAACGGCAAACAATTTGAAGGCAAACGACTTGAATCCCTGTGCGAAGAATACAACATCAAACATTTTTTCTCTTCGCCTTATCACCCGCAATCCAACGGTCAAGTTGAAGCTGTGAACAAACTCATAAAGAACGGCCTCAAAGTCCGACTTGACGCCGCCAAAGGAGCTTGTCCTGAGGAGTTGCCACACGTCCTATGGGCCTACCGGACAACAACTCGAACTTCTACCGGCGAGACCCCGTTTTCCTTAACTTACGGCTCAGAAGCCGTAGTTCCAGTCGAGCTCGGAGAACCGACGTACCGCGTTCAGCATTTCACCGAAGAGGCCAACTCGGAAAACATAAAGGCTAATCTGGACCTGCTTGAAGAACATCGTACCCGGGCCGAACTCAGAAATGCTGCTTACAAGCAAAGAAGTGAGAAATACATCAAATCTAAACTCAAACCTCGTTCATTCCGAGTTGGAGACTTGGTCCTCAAACGCATAATGGGGCCTGACCCTAGACCACTCAAACCAAAGTGGGAGGGACCTTACCAAATCATTGAGATTCTACCCCATGGAGCATATCGGATTGCTCATCCCGACGGGACACCTCACCAATATCCCTGGAATGCTGTGTTCTTGAAAAAGTTCTATCAGTGAATTGTCCGAAGTCGGATATCCGACCTTTCTTTTGCACGGACCTTCTTTTCGCCTCGGTGAATGTACGAAGTAACCTTTTTGATGTATTGAAGGCCTGTCGGCTCTCGCTTTTGAAAATCCGAGCAGCAGCTCGATACCGATGTAAACATTTTGAAACTCAGTTCTATGAATCTTTTGTACCGATGTAAGCATTGCGACACTCGGTCTCGCTGACATCCCATAATATATCCGAACTCCATACATGTTTCGGATAGGGGCGACGCACGTCAAACGTCATTTCAACACACATGATTTGACGGGTCCCGAATATCACCGAATACAAAAAATATAAATCGGTTGGGGCCATTCCATAATCGAACTCTGACGAAGTTCGGTGACTTCTATTTTATCTCCCGTACAACCCTAAAAATGTGTTAAGTTTCGCGAGTTATTTGAATGCTCGCATATCGACTTGAACTTGTGGCTGCAATTATTACAAAAGATCAAAGTGGGATTCGGAAAGTATTTTTACAAAAAAACTTACAACTCAGTTACTGATATGAATAAACCCGAGTTGGAGCAATTCTTAGTAAAATGCGTACCGAATTCAGAACACTTTGACAAAATCGCTGAAATTTGTACAGCAAACATAAATCAAAATAAAAAAATTACGCAAACACTTTATATATATATATATATATATATTATTTTTGGAAAAGTTGGGAAATACCTTGCATATTTTCCTACTAAGGGACTCAGTTATCTGATGTCCCCGATTACATATTACCAAACAGTATATATTTCCTACTAAGGATGCAGACATGCCGGCACCCCGACTATATATTGCAAATATATAAAAATATAAAAAGAACTGAAACTTCAGGCGTTGTCATCCTTCTTCTCCACATCGGTCCCGGTGCCACTGCCTTCCCCGGTTTCGATCCCTGAGGATAGTTGCTCCAAAACTTGCGACTCCTTCGCTTTAGCAGCAATCTCGATGGCTCCGTCTGACACCGGAACCAACTCATCACGAGGATCTCGCACTTTATCCATATCATCCTCAACCGGCGTGACAACTCTAACAACTTCAACCTCCTTGTCGGCCGACATGACCTTCTCCTCAATGTAGGCCTTAACCCTACTCTGAATCTCCTCCGGGGTCATATCATCGAAGTGCTGCTCAATCTCCACATCGGCGAGGGTTGAAAGATATATGTTAGCCAGCTCCTTCCTTTTCTCTTTCTCACCCTCCAAAATCATGTTGACGTAGGCACGTCGGAGAAGGGCAGCCCTGTCTTCAGAAAGCGGCGGTAAGTCGGGATTCGCATTCATCTCTTCAGATCGACGAAGCATCCAGACGCAAAACTCGCGTTCATCTTCATCAGCCTCCATGTGCATCCCCTTAATCTCAGTATCGAAACCATATTTTTCAAGTTTATGAAACAGGAACAAACGGATGTCGTCGATGTCATAGTACCCCGCATCATAACGCTCAATGATCCAATGTAAATTCAAGCAGGTATTCATTTCGATCTCGAGGTCAGGTCCACCAACCTCATCCTCATCACCAGCGTCAACGGCCTCCACTCCGGTGTCATCAACGGACCTCGGTTCCATGGCCACAACAGAGTCCTTCCCGGCCTGAAAGCCATTCTCGTACATGAATTCCCCATATGTCGATTTTTCTCTCTCAAGTTTAGCCATCTCGGCTTGATGGGCATCCTTCTGCCGACCTACCAGCTCACGGACCTCGGCACACTCTTGGCGAGTTGTTTCATGTCTTGCCTTTTTGTCTGACAGCGCCTTCGCTGACTCTTCCAATTTGGCCTCGGAGGCTTTAAAATGTTGCTCAACTACAGCCAGGCGTGCCTTAAGATCGGCCACCTCGGCCTCGAAGGCCTTCTTCTCTTCAGATAACACCGAGGTCTCGGCCCGTGCACTTTCCAACTGGGCAGCTTGCTCCAAAAGTTGACCCTTCAAGTCGGCCTCCATTTTTGCAGACTCTTCTTTCAAATTGACAATCACTACGTCACGCGCAGCTGTGATATCCTTTTTCCCTTCTAACTGCGACGCAATTCGGCGGTGATCGTCTTCGGCAGCGACCAAACTGACCAATGCCCTGCCAACACACGCCTTGGCGTAGCTCAACCTGTCCGCACTCGACAAAGAAGAGACCCCCACTTCCGATTTGGGGTCCCATACCATTAATGGCACACGAGCAGCATCTTTGGCACTTTCCAGCATCTCGATTCTAGACGACATGTGCGGTGTTTTAACAGACTGGAAGGTGGTGAACCACTCCTCCACGACACCTTCGGGCACTTTGACATTCGTAGCCCTCTCTTCATTAATGGACAGGAAAGATTTTTCAAATAAAGGAGAGTCATCCTTACCCTTCTCAGCGGCTTTACGACCGGAGTCATGTTTTTTCTTTGATCTCTTTTCTGCTCCGGAAGAAGCACCGACGTCTGCCATCCTCACCAACTTTCTTTTCTTCTTCTTCTCTGGTTGTTCCACCAACTCCAGGGACTTCGGAGAAGAGGGTGGCACATCAGTGTGGACGACCTCGGTCGTAACAATCTCTGTTCCTGTTACAACAGGCTCAGGATCTGCTTGGTTAATCGCAGCAGCGTTCACAACCGACAGCACCTCGGTAGTTGTCACCTCTGGCACGGACTTCGGGACTTCAGGAATAGCGACCGAAGTCGTGCTTGACCCCACCTCGGTCGATTTCTTACCAGTATTTTTCTGACCGGCAGTCTTCTTCACTAACGCACGAACAAGATCTCTCCTCATGGCGTCGTTTAATCTCAGATCTCGACTCTTACCAACTTTAGATTGAAGATCTCTGTTCGGAAACTTGCGCCTGAATTCCTTGGCTTCCTTGACAGAGCTATAGCCCAAAAAACCGAGGAGTGGATAATATACTGCATTCCGACAATAAATAAACAGAGTTACAAACAGCTGTTCTACACGTATAGAAAGTCCAACAAAATCCCCATAAACTTAAATTCTCTTACCGGGGTCAAATTGTGAAGTGGAAACTCCGAGAGACAAACCGGCAGCTTCGAGCTTCGAATCTACTAAGAGCGTACGATAATCTCGAATTTCTTTATCTAAACTAGCCAAAGTGATCAGCTTTCCACCGAACTCCGGACTCAACTTCGGTTCTTTCTGCTTGGTATCTTTTTCTACAAAGGGCAAAAGTTCCGACCTGTTAGTACACAGAACAACACCAAAATCAGGAAAATATATCCGAATTGAAAAACTAAAACAAACTCACTTGCTCCGGAGTGAATAAACATAGGGATTGTCATCCCATCAATTCGGGGTTCATGGAAGAAGCCCTCGGATTGCCACTCTCCGCCAACCCATAGCCACTCCTCCTGGAAACCACGAAGACTCTCCG